TGTGGTGTGTGTGTGTGTGTGTGTGGTTGTGTGTGTGTGTGTGTGTGTGGTGTGTGGTGTGGGTGTGCTGTGGTGGGCTGTACAACAGGGCGAGAGGAGGGTCCAGTAATGTTGGCCCTCCAGCCGTTCCACACACACACACTCACTCACTCACTCACTCACTCACTCACTCACTCACTCACTCACTCACAGTGCGCACAGTACATACAGGCTCAATTCCCAGCTTGTAGCCTGAAACCTTGGTGAGCTGCGAATCAGCATACAGGAAATACCATTGTCACAAGTAAACAAACACTTCCAGTATAAGCTAGTTATCCTGGTAGATAGAGGGGGTGGTAAGAGTCGGGCGTGTGATTAAAGTGTCGTCATTTGAAATCCCAAACATGCTTTCTATAACAACTCAAGCAGAGTTGTGTTGTTTCATGGTAATCGTCACTAGTACGTCGAGAGTTACGAGATTTTCGAAGGTGAACAGTAGATGGCTGACCCTTAAGAAACTCTTAAGTGTGAATACATAAATGTAACTATGGAGTGTAATACAGACCACTACCTTGCCTGGATGAATGTACTTCAACCAGAAACACTGCTTTTGTTGTGTCCTCTACTCATAGATTCCTTCCCTACAATAACAAAGCTGTTCATAGAGACAATCATTACATTTTCAGAGTAATAAAGAGCCTGAGTAAGGGAGAGTGACTGACCTGAGAGGTTAAATCAATAGTTGAAAGTAGATGTTGTTATCTGTGTTTCTATTTTGGGTTATTCTGGTCAGTAGGGCATCGCTGAGGAAAATAAATCAGCAAAAGGGTCCTCAGGGATGTGAAGATTTCCATGTTATTTAAATAATCATCTGCCTGTAAGTATTTCAGGTTTAGTATTCTCCTTTTTATCCAAAATAAAAACACTTCTCACAGTTGTTCTCTTTCTCTCTCTTTCAGCCTCGGGCCGTATACTGTAAAGACGTCCTGGACATCGAGCAGTTCTCCACTGTCAAAGGCGTGAACCTTGACCCCACAGACGACGACTTCTACCACAAGTTTGTCACAGGCAGTGTCTCCATCCCGTGGCAGAACGAGGTACTGAAGGCTCAGGCCACTGAGATGATGTCATCGTTCAGTCCCACAACAGGCAGATGCAACGCAGTACAGCACTGATGACATAGAAATACCTTTATTAATGAACAGTACCTTCCTTTAAGAGTAATGTGGAGGGAGGAATTTACGTAAATGCTTTTAAATGTGAATATGCCACTGTGAATGAGTTAAGTTAAAGAATATGTATGAGACAAGTTGTGGAGGTGTCTATTTACACCCTAAATGCCCAATCCAGATGGATACTGAAACCCTAACCCTGAAACAGCTACTTGTAGAGAAGGTTGTTCTATAAGTAAATGGCACCCATTCTTATGCTGACCCACGGGCCTTTTGTAGAACTAAACTCCTGAGGAAGTTATTAGGATGGATAACTCAACCTCTCGTCCCTTTGTAGATGATTGAGATGGAGTGCTTCAAAGAAATTAATGTCTATGAGACTGATGGGACGCTGTGCTCAGACCTGGACATGAACCGGCCTAACCCTCCACCAAAGAGAGGCTTCTTCTACCGCCTGTTCAGAAGAGAGGCAAGTGCTAGTGCTCCGCCAATTGTCCGAGGGGGTGGGGGCTAAGGTACTTCCTCTCTTCCTTCTTTCCTTCCTTCCTTTTTCCCCCCAGACCTTGTCCAAACTCAAAACTCCAAACTTTTGAAAATGTTACCACTAAACCCTTGTTGTTTCCAGTTATGTCAGTTTAAATTGATTAGAATATAGCCTCCCATATTTCTTTTCTCTGGGGTTGAAAAAAAAAAAAACACTTGTTAATCCCTTAGAATATTCTTTTCTGCATCTGTTGTGCTACTTTGTTTCAGAAAGTCTAAGGGATCTTTTCTTGATTTGTGGCTGTGGGAGGACCTGATATCAAGCTTTGCTTTTAAGATACAGTGACACATGTCACAAAATGTTTCAGTGGTAAAAATGTGTCTAACATCGTGTATTGGTTGCAGGAGCTACTCAACTAATAAGTTATTTCCACTATTTTGTGCTTGTTCAATTTCGCTTAAATTCAAGGGTGTAACTGATGGGATGGGGACATTTTATAGTTTCATTTAATTTTTCTTCTTACTGAAATCACTAAGTGATCTCTTACTGGCAAAATGCAGATAAGATAAGCGAGGAGTTGAAAATAATCATCTAACTAACCTTGAATTATTTGCCTGTAGAAATAAGCTTTATAGGCAGCAGTGAGTGCTCAGTGGAGGTTTTTCGCCCTGAGTTTTGCCTCTCAGGCCACATTCAGTCCGCCCTATCTTATTGGTGAAGGTTGCTGGGGCTGTATTCAGTCTGAGAGACAGACTGCAGGCATTGCTCCCCGCTGCCTCTGCATGTTTTTAAGGTAAAAACATTTGAGTGTCAATCAAAGATAAGGCATCTTCTAAGTACAGATGCAAATACAGCATTATCAGGTCTTTGTCAAGGAAACCACACATCATTTTAATTAAGGGTAATACATAAATAACAGATGAACATAGCATTTGTGTAATACCACCATGATTATCAAAAACACAATAACCAGTTTCATCACAATTTGTATTTGCAGCCATACCTACACCCTTGCTTCAGTTACATGCCTTATGTTATCTTCCAACTTGCTCACAGTTACCAGGTACCAGCTTGGGCACTACAGAAATACTTCCTGTGACAAGGTTAAGTCGGGGTTCAGCCGAATGTGACATCATTTCGCACACGTGAGTCAGTGTGGTGATAAAAGTGGCTAATATTGGTGATATATCCTCACTTTTGGTTGTTCCCAGGTCTGTTTTAAGAGCGGTTACAGTGACGATGAGATCGAAGAGCCCTCGCGACTTTAAACCACTCCCTCCACCTGCCTCCTCCTCCCCCCTCGCCGCTGAACTTCACCACAAACTCCAACCGAGCGCAAATCTTAGGAACTCAGTGAATGTTGACCTGTATTTATGAGCTGTATTAAAAGTGTATTATAATTAAAGAAAAAAGTATGAGTTTAAAGATTTTGTACATTTGTACTTGAATTTATGTCTAGATGTATATTTTCACTAAAGGTTGTATTGTACAAAAAGCCATAAAAGTACCACTTGAATGCATACATTACATTTTTATTTCCTGTTTATTTTCTTTTGGAATGAGTATGGATAATGTGTATTGGGGAGTTTTTTTAAGAAGCACAGTACCAGTAGTCTTTTTATTTTCTCAATGTAGCATAAGGCCTTTTTTTGTTTTTAAATGTGCTGTATGTTTTTCATTTGGCCAACGTGACGCGTTGTTAGCACGTCAGATCCACCCGGTCCCACGCTAACCATTGGCCTCCGCACCCCTCAAGGCTCAGGTAGATCTGAATGAAGTGCATAGATCCAATTGAGATTGGGGAGAAATAAATCCAGTCTAACATTGCTGGGTTGATGCCATGCTGCTTAAGCCTTCCCAATATTTTCCCCAAATCTCCACCTGCTCCTTTGATTTTAGTTGGTTTGGAAGCGATAATCCCCATCCTTCCCTCGGCCCAGTTAGGCATGTTGCACTGGACTGGATGGCATGTGTAGTAAACCGTGTTTTAGGTGCCTGTACCAACTCGATTCTAGCAAAGATGGCATGGATTTATTTTCTGACAATCTATCAATCTGACAAGTCAGCATGTGCAACAATAAGAATCTATTAAATTACAAAGGAAATATTACAGAGGCTTTTTTCCTCGTAATACAAGGCCTGATAATAATCATTCCAGGA